TCTATAATTTTTGATTTTTCCATGCTATTATATGACCCGTTTTGGATGTTTATGGGCTTTACTTTACACTTTTATATCATTTTTGGGACTAACCTACTAACTGGAGGCCCAGCTCGAATTGCTGTTTTTTTTGGCTATTTCGGTGTTTCAAAGAAAAGGAATATCAAACGGAGTCCAAACGGAATGAAACCTTCGGGAGCGATCTTTTTGGAACAAACACAATCCACGAGACTTGGAGTGAACGTCAAGCAACAGAGGAGGCGGCCATGAGGGTGCCCGACGCGCCCCTTGGGGGTGGGCACGCCCCCACCCTCGTGGGCCCATCGAGCATCCACCGACCTACTTCTTCCTCCTATATATACTCCCGTACCCTGAAACCTTCGAGGAGCACCATGAAAAACTATTTCCACCGCCGCAACCTTCTGTATCCGCGAGATCCCATCTTGGAGCCTTCTCCGGTGCTCCGCCGGAGGGGGAATCGACCACGGAGGGCCTCTACATCATCTCCAAGACCTCTCCTATGAGTTGTGAGTAGTTTACCAAAGACCTTCGGGTCCATAGTTATAAGCTAGATGGCTTCTTCTCTCTCTTTGAATCTCAATACCAAGTTCTCCTCGATCTTCTTGGAGATCTATTCAATATAACTCTTTTTGCGGTGTGTTTGTCGAGATCCGATGAATTGTGGGTTTATGATCAAGTTTATCTATGAGAAATATTTGAATCTCCTCTGAATTATTTTATGTGTGATTAAGTTATCTTTGCAAGTCTTTTCGAATTATCAGTTTGGTTTGGCCTACTAGATTGATCTTTCTTGCAATGGGAGAAGTGCTTACCTTTGGGTTCAATCTTGCGGTGTCCTTTCCCACTGACAGCAGGGGCAACAAGGCACGTATTGTATTGTTGCCATCGAGGATAAAAAGATGGGGTTTATATCATATTGCATGAGTTTATCCCTCTACATCAGTCATCTTTCTTAATACGTTACTCTGTTCTTCATGAACTTAATACTCTAGATGCAGGCAGGAGTCGGCCGATGTGTGGAGTAATGGTAGTAGATGTAGAATCGTTTCGATCTACTTGTCACAGACGTGATGCCTATATACATGATCATGCCTAGATAATCTCATAACTATTCACTTTTCTATCAATTGCTCGACAGTAATTTATTCACCCACCGTAATACTTATGCTATCTTGAGAGAAGCCACTAGTGAAACTATGGCCCCCGGGTCTATCTTTTATCATATAAGTTTACCAGCTACTTTTATTTGCATCTTTTACTTTCCAATCTATATCATAAAAATACCAAAACTATTTATCTTATCATATTATCTCTATCAGATCTCACTTTCGCAAGTGGCCGTGAAGGGATTGACAACCCCTTTATTGCGTTGGTTGCGAGGTTCTTGTTTGTTTGTGTAGGTGCGTGGGACTTCTGAGGAGCCTCCTACTGGATTGATACCTTGGTTCTCAAAAACTGAGGGAAATACTTACGCTACTTTGCTACATCACCCTTTCCTCTTCAAGGAAAACCAATGCAAGCTCAAGACGTAGCAGTGCTATCGTATGTCAACATTGATGGAGACTTCAACCCACAGAGGGTAAGGGTTGTGCGAGTTTGGGGGGGTCCACCCACGAAGGGTTCACGAAGAAGCAACCTTGTCTATTCCACCATGGCTTACGTCCACGAAGGAGTAGCCTCACTCGGGTTGATCTTCACGAAGTAGACGATCTTCTTCCCCTTACAAACTTCTTGGTTCAAATCCACAAGATTTGATGCTCCCAAGTGACACCTAACCTATCTAGGAGACACGACTCTCCAAAAGGTAATAGATATTATTGTTGATGACGAACTCCTTGTTCTTGTGCTTCAAAAGATAGTCTCCTCAAGACTCAATCACTCCCACAGATTTGGCATGGTGGTGGGAGAAGGATTGGAGTGGAAAGCAACTTGAGGGGCTAGTTCAAGGATCAAATGGCTGGAGTGGAATGCCTTGATCTCAACACAAGCGTAGGTGGTTCTTTCTGACGAAGTGGATATGGGAAGTGTAGTTTCGTCCTGGTTGATCTCCCAAAGAGTGAGTGGTGGTGGAAGCGTATATATAGCCAGCGCCAAAGATCTAGCCGTTGCAAACTTTATGCATAACTCAGTGACACTGAAAGTAAATCTTGGTGGGATCGGACAGTGTAAAAGATTCAAACGTTAGACGTTTCAGTGAGACCGGATGAATCCACTCGGTCAGACCGATATGTGATGACCTAAGCAGATTCCTCATCTCGGTAATTTTGATCAGTCCAACTTGGTAGTTCCGAAATGAACATGATGGGTTACAGAAACTTGGTCATTGCACTTCGGTGGGACCGAATGTAATCTCGGTAGAACTGAGTTTCTAGGATTTGGCTTATGGCTCTATCTGGTGTATCTTGGTGGCTTCGGATAGGCGTGTTTTGGTGGGACCGAGATTGGACTTAGGAGTTTGGACAAATTGGATATGGAGAAAGTGGTTTAGGGTTTTGGAGCAATATCTTCAAGCACTTGAGCAAGTGACTCAAGATCAAAACCTCATCCCCTTTTAATAGTATTGACTTTCCTATGGAGTCAATGTGATCTTTGATCACTTAACAAAAAATGTAGAGTCTTGAAGCTTTAGCCAATGCTTGACCTTAGTGGCTTGAGGGGTTCACATCTCCATCCATCTACAAGCCTAGGTTGGACTATTCCTGAAATATACTTGATGAAAATGTTAGTCCAGCAACATGTATTTTGACATGAATTACCAAAACCACCAAGGGAGCAAGTGTGCTTTCACGGTGGCAACGACCACAGTCGACGGTGGACCGATAGTGGTGTTGTGGTCACAGATTCCTCGTTCTTCGAACCAAGGGGCCTACTGAGTGAGGTTTTCTGCGACTAGCAGCGGGGAGGTGGTGGCTATCGGCGGTTGCTGTGTGGCAGCATGATGGCTAGTAGCTAATTAGGCGGAGATCTTACACATCGGCCACTGTCAGCGTCGAGTAAGATTAGGCGTGACTGCCGATGAAAGTTGAGCCAACTTCGATCATGGCAGACGGTGGCAGCGTGTACACGTCGTTACCCTGATGAAGGCATCGTCATTGTAGGTCTTGTCTCCTCGATCGGGCTACTCCGATGGAAACCCCTTGATCTGGGTCTTCTGGATAGAGTGATGGTGACGCTTGATGCCGTTCTCCCTCCCGGGACATCATTTCGGAGCAGCCGCTGGAGGGGTCGGGAGGTGGAATATGGTCGTGTATACCACATCAATGACGACGGGTCTAGGCAGCATGGCACAACAGAGTCTTCGCGGCTGATGCCTCTTGATGGATGAGCGGAGGGTGGTGACACTATTTGGCGTTGTGGCAGGGTCGACGGCTGGCCTTGCGAGGATAATGCGGGTCTCTACTCTGAAGATGTGTTGACTGTTCGATGGTGGTGTCGGCTTCTGAAGCTTGTGCATGTAGTGCGGGCTTAGGGTCCCCTGGACGAGATGTGTGCTTCTGGTACGCATGCGGGTGGCTCGGTGATGTTCCTGGTTCTAGATGGTGGAGCGTTGTGATGGCATCCTATATTGTCGAGTTCATAGGTGTGGAGATGTGGCTTTGGATTTTTTGATGTATGTTTTTGTGAGACCTTTGTTGAATAAAACCATAGCCTGGTTATCTGTATCTTTTGATTTATAGGTCGGGATTTTGAACCTTTGTTTCTAAGAAAACGCCCAAGTTGAGAGGGTCTAAATGGCTCCCGAGCTCATCTGCTCCTGTCTTGAACAGTAAAATCAAAATATATACTACAAAAACTCAAAAAAAATGTTTTTTTACATGAGAAATGTTTGAGTGCATGATGTCCGTGCCAATTTTCGGCGTGTTTGGACATCCGAGTAGCCCTCAGAAAAAAACAAAATTGATGTGTGTGAAAAAGTTTATTGTTCCTACGCCGTTTGAACCGATTTTGTTTTTGCTAAGAGCTATCAAATGTCCAAACATGCTGAAATTTTGGTTTGGACCTCATGCACCTTAACATCTTCTATAAAAAATCATTTAAAAAATCTAGTATTTATTTTATTTTACTACTCATCGAGAGGAGAGAGCTCGGGTATAAAAATGGATTTTCGGCCCAAGGTCAAAGACTTAGAGGAATTATGTACTTCTTATGTCAATACACATTGTTGTTCTTTTTATTATTTGCAAGATGTTATTCATTGTTTAACCATGTTATTTTTTATTCTTTCAAAAAGGTTAAACCCGGCTTGGAACAGGTGTAATTTTATACATCTGGATTTAATCTACATGTGTATATTAACGGCCGCCGTGTTCCGTATGGAATGAAAACGATGGCCGGAGGTCTGTATTGAATACGGGGTTATTTAGGAGCAAACCGACAATCTAAGCGGGGCCAAAGTCTACATGATACGTACTTCCACATGAATCACACAAATTTAATCTACTAGGCACCGATGAATGATTATTTGTTCATCTTTCCCTAAAACAAAAGATTATTTGTTCATTTTTAAAATCGACATGGCGAGCATCCGGGTATGATAGTACAATACTTGCCGACACAAAGGGTAAAATAGTGCAGTGGTGGCATGGCAGGGGAAGCGCAAACCCAAAGTTCTGCTGTGTCATCATGATTTTCAAATCATTGACGCCCAAAATCAAACATCGTACAGCTCCTCTAGCTAGCAAACAAAACCCACGGCGCTCTCTGGCCAAATCTGAATCCGATTCCAAATCAGAAGCTAGCTTTTGCACACTGGGTCAGAGCCAAGAACAGTAGTACTACTTCTAGGAGTACATTACAGCAGAACCGCACGGCCAGTTACAGCCAATATTAAAACTAATTAAGATCAAACTGATGAACATCGTTGGAGCTAATCATGAACACAGAGCATGATTACTTATGATAGTCCTAGTAGTTAAAGAAACATCCTGAGGCTGGATTAATAACTGAGTGAGTGAGTGGATAGCCAGTGAGATCGCTAGCTAGCCGCCGTGGAGGATGACCCAGATGTCCGAGAAGGCCTGGAGGATGACCGGGTGGTGGCGCGGCGCGTTGAGCGAGAGGTACGACCGCAGCAGCCGCTCCAGCTCCGCCGCGCCGAACATCTGCCGGCTCACGACCATATCCACCATCGACGCCCGGAAGTCGGCGTAGGGGTCCCGCGACCGCTGCACCACCGCGAACCCCCTGCGCACCTGCTCCTCCGCCGCCGACACCACCGGCCGGAACCCTTCCTTCACGCCGCACGTGTCGCAGCTGCTCGCCACGCGATTCTTGCGCCTCTGCCCCCTCGCCCTCGCTCTCGGCGGCGGCGGCGGCTTCGGCGCCACTGCCGCAGGTGACTTCTTCTTTAGTTTCTTCTTCTTGCTGTAGAACTCGGAGGAGTCGGAGGAGAAGGAGAAGCTTCTGGAGGAGGAGAAGAAGGCCTCCGCGTCCCCCTTCTTGGCGTCGCTGCGGTCGCGCTCGTCAGCGTCGCTGCTGAAAACGTCGTCGCCGTCAGTGTCCGAGGTGCTGAAGCCATAGGGGTTGTTGGAGAGCAGCTTCTTGCTCCTGTCGCCCTTGACCCGGCCACCGAGGCGGTGGCGGTGGTGCCCATGACCGTGGAGAGGGCTCTTTTTCTTGCTCTCCATCAGAGGCGACGCGTGCATAGAGAAGCGAGCCGGAGGTGGCAGAGATTGCACCGCGGCGCCGGCACGGCGGTGCACGCGGTCGAGTGCGTTGGAGAAGGACTCGGTGCGGCCGACGACAGTGGCGTAGTCGCGGCGAGAAGAGGTGAGGAACGAGTCCCTGTCGCGGGAGATGGCGGAGTCGGCGGCCAAGAGCGCGCGGCTGGAGGAGCAGGCGGAGCTCGGGGGCGGCTTGGACGCAGTCACCCCGTCGGCTGCCGCGCCCACCGCGGCGGAGCACGAGGAGGAAGAGGAGGTCGATGCGGTGTTGTTGTTGCAGGTCGAGCGGAGCAGCGAGCCCGGACGGAACATCCGGGCGAGCCGGTCCCTGAGGCGGCTGCTACTCCTGCCGCCACCGCCACCTCCGCCACCATGATCCATGGGTAGCTCAGTCAGTGCTCACTTGACGCCGGACTGGTTGGTTGTTGAAGCAGGGGAACACTGGTGCCGAGCCATCGGCGTTATATATAGGCGTGGGAGATGGAGCCGGGAGCGAAGGAAGGTTTGAAATGGCTAGTGTGAGCTGCCAGTACGCTACGTGCACTACGAGCCGTGCGTATAAAGTGGGTCACGTGACGAATTATTAATCAAGGCATAACATTTTTCTTGTTTATGCAAGGATAATAAAGCCGACGAATGTTTTGGCATGTATGTAAGCTTTCGGTTATGGAATCACTGACACTGAAGCACTGAGCAAATCATGCAAGATTTCCGTTATGGAGTGACGCGGAAACATATTTTCGTATCACTGAGCGATCATCCAGCATTCCAGATATGACATACGGTGGAACGAACGAATTACTGGCCTGTTTTTTTTTGACAAAGAGTGAATTTTATAGACTCAAACGAAGTATCAAGAAGATACAATGAGCACACGTCCAACCTCTGCATACTACACACGAAAACACGTCGGCAACTAGGAAAGACATACAAGGCCAAGTCATGCGTAGACGAGGAAAAGCATCGACAAACTAGAGTAATGACAATATCCCACCAACCATCTCATGACACCGCATGGACGGCAAGGTTCTTCAACAACAATGCCTTCATGAAGGGGGCGACATTGAAGTGTCGCCATCGCCGGATCAAACCACAAGGCCAAAATCTAGGTTTTCACCTTGGAGAACCGATCCGAGTATATACGAGCAATGTCTTCAATAAGGCACAACGTAAAAATAATATCGGCATTGCCAGATATAACCACTCGGGTCTGACGTAGGCTTTCGCTCCAGATCTCGAGACCAGGGGCTCGAGTAGCAACACCAACAAAGTCACTCATGTGTTGTTGCCACCACTTTTTCGCGATCCCGTCTGCTACATGTGATGCATCCGCCACCACTGTTGTTTTAGAGAGAAGGCAGCCGCCTGACTTTATAAATAAAGCCAACAAGACAGGTTCAGAACAAGTAGCAGCAGAGGTTCCAAAAGAAAGAAGGTACCCGCAAACAAGCCATTACAGATGCACAGATCCAGAGGACCAAGGCCAGGGACATGCAAGCCAGGCAAGACAACAGAAACTTAGACCCAATTCACCACAAGGGGGCTTGGGGTAGATAGAGCAATACCGGAGGCGCGGATCTTGGTAACCATTAGGACAACAACATCAGCGTCGACATCTGTAGCGAGAAGGCACCACAACTAGATGAAAGCAGCCATTTTAACCAAAACATCATCAGGGCGGTTAGGAAAGAGGTTTTCAATCATAAATTTGTGACGAGTAATCTATAAGCCCACCCAAGAGCACCAAAGACAATCCAGAATACCCTAGAAAATTGGCCCGAGTAATTCCCAATAATGTTGATAAGATCGTCCATAGTTGATGGGTTCTAGGGTACTTCAACCACGATCGAGCACAACACCGGCCTAGCATAGTAAAAATGAAGTTAAAAAGGATGTGCTCAGTGTTTTCAGTGTGGCCTCAAAGAGAAGAGAACATGCAGCAGATGCATGTCCATTTCTCTTAAGGATTTGATCGCTAGCTAAAAGTTACGCCAGATGACTTGCCAAAGAAAGATCTGAATCTTGAGAGGATCACCTCTGCTAGAGGCCCTTGAGCCGGGGGGCAGGCCGCCCCTGGGAGAGCTTAAGTTAGAGGGATTTAAATGAGAACCTACCATAAGAAGAGTGGGGCCAAGAGATTTGGTATTTGGTCTCCGAGAGCAAGGGGAGAAGGGCAGTGCGAGCATGCCTGTCTGCCAACTCTTCAGGAGTCAGCATCCGACGCATACCAACATCCCAGTTACGAGAGGTTTCGCACAGGGGTCTTATTCGTGAGCACCTTTTCAACCAGAATTTGATGGAAGCGCCAGTGTCAGGCAAAAGTTTGACTAAAGCACGAAATTTATCCCACGCCAGCATAAGGGAATACAAAATTGAGAGCCACTCAGGCGGTGGACATCAAAGGAGGGAAGTTAGGGAAGTACTTGGTCTACAAAATTTTACTCCACACGCAATCAGGAGGCTCGGTGAGAATGTGATGCGGAGCATCCTATGGTCATCCCCATGGACCCATCTCCCCAAAGGCCAAGTGGACCGATGACACGATCACGCGCAAGAGCACTCGAAACCGAGGTGACATCTCTCCTTAATGACCTCCCATTTGGTGCACATGAGACATGGCTACTACCTAAAGCGGAGACTCTATGCATGATCAGGTATCAAGAGGACGGGCGTGAAGATGCTACGCCAAGCGGACAAGACGGCGAGGATACCGATCCAAAGGACCAAGAAAAGAAGCCGCCAGAAGTTGACAGCCAACGGACGACCGAGCCACGTCGGACATCCGACACCTGGGAGATCCTATAGCCCGAAGGCCCAGCCATCGAAGTCTACAGCAGCCGGACGACCGGCAGCCTACAACGCCCGGACACCCGTCCGCCACCGGACGACCAACACAGGTGGATCAGAGCCAAAACGCCAAAAATCCGAGACCAATAGGACGACCGGCGCACCGGATGTCCAACCTCGACCGGAAATCCTACAGATGCCCATCCGAGCCAAAACATCGGAAGTCCAACACATACTGGACATCCGGACTCCCGCGAGACACCGAACGACCGGTATCTGTCGGACATCCAACACCTGTCTGTGCACAGCATATTGGGCCGAGGCCTGTACGTGTACCCCTTCAACCCTCTAGACTATGTATACGACTCCACCTCCACTTTTCTAGGGTTACCATTGGTTTAGCTCATTTTAGAGATAGAGCTTTGCTCATCCACTTGATACTTTCTCCATCGGAGACCGCGGCCTCTACGGAGAAGATCCCACAGGAACACCCCTCAAGACCTCCTCACGGAGAAGAACTACTGCCTCTTGTATCGCCCTTTGTTGCATTTGGATCTTGTATCTCTCTTTATATTCATGGATCTAGCACATGTGTGATTCTTCTCGTTGATTCGAGTGTTTCCCCTCGTGTTTCTCCGCGTATGTTCGTCGTGTTATTAGTAGGAATCCCCCCAAATCGTGAAAGATCAGCCCTAGGGTTTCCACTCTACATCAGAATGTGCCACCACCACTTCATAATCAGGCACTTGTTCATGATCCCAGTATTAATAGTGCATAGCCCCCAAGGATTTTGGGCTTGCACATGATTTTTGACTTAACCATCTGATATCTCTTCCTGTTTTCAATGTTGTTCCAGTAGAAAGTGCTACAATCTCTACCTATATAAGCTAGTATGATTGTTATCGTACAAGCGATAAAAACCCATGATGAAAGTAGGAAGGCTGGACAAACTTGAATTCATCAGAGTTACTTTGCCAACGGAGAATTGGTGGCGGCCATGCAAGGGAGCAACCCTAGGGCCCACTTTAACTTCGAAAGGTTTGAAATCAGCCGCAAGAAGTTTCATGTGGGAAGTAGTCACACCAATATAGGTGGTAGGGCCGAGCTTACACCTCCAAAGGTGAGAAATTTGAGATTGTTCTGCGGGTGGGCAGCCCAAAGTAAAAGCTTCACTCTTGGTAAGGTTAACTTTTAGCCCCGACATGGCTTCAAAATAGAGCAGGGAGATTTCAGGTTAGCCGGTTGTAAGTCATTCTTCTCAACAAGAAAAATAGTCTCGTCATCTTACTAGAGGTGGGTTACCCCGAGGGGAAGAAGGTAAGAGGCAACAACAGAGATGTGCCAGCGGTAGTTGTCGAGGACATCATCCTATCAAGAGAATCCGAGATGAAGTTAAACAAGAGGGAGAAATGGGATCACCTTCTTGCAAGCCCCTACCATTCTTGAAATAGAGACCAACAATCCGTTAATGGCGATAGCAATGTGGCCACCACTAACAAACTGCATTATGCGATGAACGTAAGCAGGAAAAAAGCCCTGGCTAATGGGATGTCGGGCAAGAAGGACTAGCGAACACAATCATAGGCCTTCTCGGAGTCCAACTTAAGAACCACAACTTCACGCTTATAACAGTGGATGTCATGGAGTAACTTGTGTAACGTGAGAATACCATCAAGAATGAAGTGCCCTTTAATGAAAGCCATTAAGGGGCAGATCACCTTGTAAGCTATAGGAGATAATCTAGTGGCAAAGGCTTTCGAAGGGAATTTGGTGATATTGTTGATATTGTCTGCCCCTTTAACTTTCAAGATCAAGGTAAGTATAGCATAGTCTAGGCAAGAGATGTTAACCGGCCCCAAGCAAAAACCCTGTGTGATCTTGTAAACTAGATGTTTAACTGTTCCCCATAACTTAACATGACAGAAAAACCATTGGGTCCAGGGCAAGAAGAAAATTTAGATGAATTGATGGCCTCATCATTTTCGTCGATGGAGAGAGGAAGCATAAGGATATGACCTATGGTTAATCGAGGACAAGAAACATTGACTCATCGGCCAGGCTGAAGAACAAAATGTAAAGCCCGAGGAAGTTGGGCGCTTAGAAAATTGTGGTAGAACTCGTAGATGTGCAACTGTTGGGGAACGTAGTAATTTCAAAAAAATTCCTACGCACACGCAAGATCATGGTGATGTATAGCAACGAGAGGGGAGAGTGTTTCCATGTATCCTCGTAGGCCGAAAGCGGAAGCGTTAGAACAACACGATTGATGTAGTCGTACATCTTCACAGCCCGACCGATCAAGCACCGAAACTACGGCACCTCCGAGTTCTAGCACACGTTCAGCTCGATGACGTCCCTCGAACTCCAATCCAGCCGAGTGTCGAGGGAGAGTTCCGTCAGCACGACGGCGTGGTGATGACCTTGATGTTCTACTATCGCAGGGCTTCGCCTAAGCACCGCTACAATATTATCGAGGAGGACTATGGTGGAGGGGGGCACCGCACACGGCTAAGAGATCAAGAGATCAATTGTTGTTTCTCCAAGGGGTGCCCCCTCCCCGTATATAAAGGAGTGGAGGAGGGGGAGGGCCTGCC